AGTCCTGGATGCAGCTGACAGAAATATGTTTTTTTTTTTAAGATTTGGTGACAACAGGTTAAATACTTTTCACTGCATGCAGCTCATCAGAGCAAAGTTTCATATAAGGAACCTAGTTAGCTCTCAAATGCTTCCACCTTTCATACGTTGTTCTCCCATAAATTACAAACAGGAAGCAGTGCACTCAAGGAACACCAGATTTGTATTGGGATTCCCCTTTGTCATGTGATCTGCAAATCATCCAATGGAAACCCCCTAACACTACATTCATTCTCACGCTAGCAGCATTGGACTCACCCTGCAGTGCACAGCACCGCTGTCTCTGCGTGTACGCGCTCTTCTCCTCTTCGGCGTCCGTCCGCATGGGGGGAAGAGTCAGGTGGGGTAAGTCGGTAGCTGGGACTATCATGGCTGCTCTTTGCTGGGGATCCAGAGGAAGGAGGTGATTTGTGTAAAAAGCCCGGAGGCTGTAGAGCAATGCCAGAGCAGTCTGAAGGTGGGGGAAGCAGGCCAGGCCTAGGCCTGGCTCTAGCACTTAGTTCAGGGGAGCCATGCCTGGAACTCAGTGGACTCTGCGTCAGTGGGGAAAGGCGAGAGGGCTGCAGCACCACCTGATGTATACTTGGCTCTAGTCTACGATGCTGTCTGGGGCTCATTTGCGGACGTGTCCGGCTCTCAAACCAACGAGCATCCATCCCAAAGGACCCTGGCTCGGGGATGTCTGGGTATGGAAGCACCGGGATTCCCATCCCTTGGCTAGTGTGCCGAAGCTGGCTCTGAGCAGCCAGTTGCATAGCTGCATCCTGCCAAGAAGTTGGGTGAGGAGGATGAGGGCCACGACCAGGAAGCCGACCTGACCAACCCGGGTGGGGTTCCAGAGGCAAGATGGCAGCATATGGTGGAACTTGCAAGGAGCTGGGAGGTAGGCGTCCTCGTGGGAATGGATCTGGTGGTGGTGGAGGCAAAGGACGCCTCATCTCTGCAGGTTCATAGCGGTGTTGGATAAACATAGAAGGAGATGGGGGAACATCCAATCCTCCGAAGGGGAACTCTGGTACTCCCCACTGCTCTGGAGAACGACCCCCAGTAGGCGTATGAGTGAGAGGCAAGGTACTTGTAGAGCTGTTCTCGCCATTCTCTTCCGGGATGGGTGGAAAAGATCCTTCAGGATGTAAAGGTGGCGAGGACATGACGGAACTAAGAGGACTGACCTCTGGCATATAGAAGGGTGGAGGAGGATCAGAATCACGAGGGCTGCTGCTAAGATATCCGTATATATGACCATGATGGTATCCGCCAGGTCGGGACTGACCAGAAGCCTGTTGCCTTCCCTCAGAGGGCTGATGCTGAAACCGAGGACTATATGCGGGAGGCTGTAGAGGAGAATCTTGGCTGGATGACAATGGGGTGAGCTGGGACTTCAATCCAGTTGGTTCATCATTCTCCTCATCAGACTGTCGGAACTCTGGGTACATGTCAGTCTCCTCTGCAAATGGAAAACCTTGTATACGGCGACTGCGCAGAGCTGGCTCCTGGTCTGGGCTGTCTGTGACAAAACGCCCGTCTGGACCTCGACTGATCAGCTCAATGGGCGTAGTGACCTCCGCTTCTGCCTGGCTTACGCTGTACTTCTTGCTGGTCATGGCGCGTTTGGTCTTCTTATACAAGGACAGCTCTTTCTCCCGGCCAGGACTTAGCGGCCGCTTGGATGGCAGACCCTGGTCCTCGGATGATTCTGAAGGGGCATGGAGGGTCCGAACACTCTCCGGACTGACTTTTCCAGAGGATAATCTGCGACGAGAGAGAGAGAAGGGTGTTAGACTGTGCCAATTAAAGCTGAACATACAGGGACAAACCATCCAATTATTGTATTGGCGATACTACGCGTGCCAAATGAAAGGTTTTATAATGAAATATGAGGAAATTATAAATATTTGGGTCTATTTTATGGTACTACTGGTTCTGTTAGGTGTAAAATATCAGTCTTTGGTCTCTACAGCTGAAACCATTACCATCACTTTTGGATCCATAACTCATATCTGGAAACAGACTGTTCTGTGTGTATTCGTATTATCAGTGCCTGTAATCTGACTTCTGAGGACAAGTGATGAACAGCAATACCTCGCACATTGTCCGGTCTCCTGCGTCCCGGTACTCCCTTGGCAACCGCCCATTTGTGGTCCTTGACACTAAGTCTACCTGTACTCTGTGTATAGTAGTATATAAATCAGAGCATAAAATACACACACACTGGCAGTGCGTGGCAATGCCACTGTGTTATCTAAATTCCTGTCTCCAGAATTTGAGTGGCCAGCGCATGCTGATGGCACAGGTGTGCACAGCCTTTAAAATAAAGGTGTTGGGAAGGGTTCAGGGCTCCACCAATCTTTAATGCACTACGGTTTGGAGCGAATTCTCACAATATATATATATATATATATAATGTGTTTTCTGCATATTGTTTTATCTGAATGGGTTGTGTGTAGTTGTGCTATATCTACACGCCTTGTATAGACACTTCTATCTCTACGGCTTGTCTGCAAGTGTTGTGTACACAGTTCCATCTAAAAATACTATGAAAACAGCGGTCTTGATACTCGTTGAGTGTTACATGCAGCAATAAGATATTTACTTACGGTGACTCCATACTTTTCCGGCAATGAGTAATGGACAATGGTGGATCTGAGGAGACAAGCACAATCACAAAACTGGTCAGCTTCATAGCATCAAACCAATGGAAGCGGTGTGATGATTGTAGAATGCACAGAGGTGTCTATGGTGAGAGGAACTAAAAACACTGTGACAGCAGAAACAGAGTACTTGAGACGTATTCTACTAGAGGGAACCGGGCAAAGCAGATGTATCCTGACAGAGAGGACAGATTAGGGATACAGGCACAAGAGGCAGGCATACCGGCAGAGGGATACGGGCACAAGAGGCTGGCATACCGGCAGAGGGATACGGGCACAAGAGGCAGGTATATCGGCAGAGGGATACGGGCACAAGAAGAAGGTATACCGGCAGAGGGATACGGGCACAAGAAGAAGGTATACCGGCAGAGGGATACGGGCACAAGAAGAAGGTATACCGGCAGAGGGATACGGGCACAAGAAGAAGGTATACCGGCAGAGGGATACGGGCACAAGAAGAAGGTATACCGGCAGAGGGATACGGGCACAAGAAGAAGGTATACCGGCAGAGGGATACGGGCACAAGAAGAAGGTATACCGGCAGAGGGATACGGGCACAAGAAGAAGGTATACCGGCAGAGGGATACGGGCACAAGAAGAAGGTATACCGGCAGAGGGATACGGGCACAAGAAGAAGGTATACCGGCAGAGGGATACGGGCACAAGAAGAAGGTATACCGGCAGAGGGATACGGGCACAAGAAGAAGGTATACCGGCAGAGGGATACGGGCACAAGAAGAAGGTATACCGGCAGAGGGATACGGGCACAAGAAGAAGGTATACCGGCAGAGGGATACGGGCACAAGAAGAAGGTATACCGGCAGAGGGATACGGGCACAAGAAGAAGGTATACCGGCAGAGGGATACGGGCACAAGAAGAAGGTATACCGGCAGAGGGATACGGGCACAAGAAGAAGGTATACCGGCAGAGGGATACGGGCACAAGAAGAAGGTATACCGGCAGAGGGATACGGGCACAAGAAGAAGGTATACCGGCAGAGGGATACGGGCACAAGAAGAAGGTATACCGGCAGAGGGATACGGGCACAAGAAGAAGGTATACCGGCAGAGGGATACGGGCACAAGAAGAAGGTATACCGGCAGAGGGATACGGGCACAAGAAGAAGGTATACCGGCAGAGGGATACGGGCACAAGAAGAAGGTATACCGGCAGAGGGATACGGGCACAAGAAGAAGGTATACCGGCAGAGGGATACGGGCACAAGAAGAAGGTATACCGGCAGAGGGATACGGGCACAAGAAGAAGGTATACCGGCAGAGGGATACGGGCACAAGAAGAAGGTATACCGGCAGAGGGATACGGGCACAAGAAGAAGGTATACCGGCAGAGGGATACGGGCACAAGAAGAAGGTATACCGGCAGAGGGATACGGGCACAAGAAGAAGGTATACCGGCAGAGGGATACGGGCACAAGAAGAAGGTATACCGGCAGAGGGATACGGGCACAAGAAGAAGGTATACCGGCAGAGGGATACGGGCACAAGAAGAAGGTATACCGGCAGAGGGATACGGGCACAAGAAGAAGGTATACCGGCAGAGGGATACGGGCACAAGAAGAAGGTATACCGGCAGAGGGATACGGGCACAAGAAGAAGGTATACCGGCAGAGGGATACGGGCACAAGAAGAAGGTATACCGGCAGAGGGATACGGGCACAAGAAGAAGGTATACCGGCAGAGGGATACGGGCACAAGAAGAAGGTATACCGGCAGAGGGATACGGGCACAAGAAGAAGGTATACCGGCAGAGGGATACGGGCACAAGAAGAAGGTATACCGGCAGAGGGATACGGGCACAAGAGGCAGGTATACCGGCAGAGGGATACGGGCACAAGAGGCATATAGACACAAAGTTGTAATCTGGCAGAGAGATTGAGCACAAAATGTATTCTGGTAGGAGGATGGAGATACAAGAGAGAGTTCTTCTATAGAGGATCAGGAATGATGTATGGTGACAGAGGGATGGGGGGATAGGCGAGATTATTCTGGCAGAGCAATAGGGGCATAGAGGCAGGAGGTACAGGCACACTATTTTGGCAGAGGGATGGGGCATAGGGGAGATGTATTTTGGTAGAGGAAGAAGGTACATGTACACTGTATTGTGGCAGAGGGATGGGGGCACAGCAGAGTTCTTATCCCCCGCTGCTTCATCTAAAACTAAAAAGGTTTTGGCCGGAGCTACACTTTAATGGAGTGACCTGAGGCCGGGTCCATGGGAAGCACATAGGACTCATGGATTGGAGCAGCATCGCTCTGTTTCATCGGGTCATGTGCTAGGATTGCGAGAGGTCCTTCTGGGTGCAGATCGGATGGCCGAGGTTATGCGGTTGGAAAGAAATGAAATGTTTTACTGCTCTGTGTTCATTGGATGGCCGAGTGAAGAAAATCCACCGCGACCTTTACTCTCACCTTTTTTTCTTTTCAACTTGCGTTTTCTCTGCCGGTTGACCACACACGCTGCCAGGGTGCTGAACAGCACCGCGGCGGCCAAAAAACAGATTGTGGCAACAATTCCAGCAAGAACGGGGCGAGCAAAACCTTCATCACTTAGTTCTGGAGAGGGGAAGACATCTGCAAGACAAAAAAAAAGGTGGAATTCTCAAAGAGATACTACGGTATTTGTACACAGCCAGAGGACAGAATAACCCAAAAAAACATCCGCTTACTGTCGCTGGTATGGGATTGGCTGATGCTCAACTATTTCCTGATCACACAAATATTCATCATTATTTTGGTTTATAGTTCCATATTTCTAAATGTAAATTGTTAATATTGGATGTTCTCATGTTCTAATCCAGAAGCTGATGTAATATGCTGTGGCTGAGAAGAGTCAGCAGAGGGCGCTCTGATAGAACGGACACGGCACAGTCTGGCAGCGACCGGCACACACAGGTTACCTGGCACATCAAGGCTTTGTAGAAACTCAACTGGCATTCTCTAGACCCCCCTCCCAGAAACCCCAACAATACGGATTGTGAGACGAGGATCTGCAGGCTCTGACCTGTGCTGGACAATCCGGCGATGTTACTCGGCTCGCTGATGAGATCCTGCATCACGGCTAGAACCCGGAACTCGTACCACGTCTCCTGCAACATGAGAGGACACAGCACGCTGAGACTGCTGAATGAGTACCCCCAACACGGGACATGTCATAACCCCATAATGTGGAGAATCTCAGGGTTGGGACCGGTCAGGTGAGAAATCTCAGAGTAGGGACCTGCAATGTGGGAAATCTCAGAGTAGGGATCTGCAATGTGGGAAATCTCAGAGTAGGGACCTGCAATGTGGGAAATCTCAGAGTAGGGACCTGCAATGTGGGAAATCTCAGAGTAGGGACCTGCAATGTGGGAAATCTCAGAGCAGGAAGTCCGATTTCAGGACAGTGGTGGAGTACCAGGGGCCCAGTCGCAGCTGCAGCCTGGTAGTTCTCGTGAAAATGGCAAGTATCAGCATTGGTATATGAGCATCCCAAGTAGGAACCCATAATGTGAGAAATTCTAGGGTAAGACTCATAATGGGGGAAATAATAGGGTAGAGAATCATAATGTCAGAAATCTCAGAGTAGGGACTCATAATGTGGTAAATGCCAGGGTAGGGACCCACATGTGGGAAATCCACCTATAAGAGATGAATCGGTTACAGGAAGGGTCTGTTGGGCTGAGTCACCTTCTAATGAATGGCGAGAAATATGAAATTACACCGTAAGTCCAGTAAGGGCTGTGGGAGCCCCTAGTGATGGATGCAGCAGGTGTACAGACCTGGGAACTCAAGGCAGAGATCCCACCAAGAGTCCCCAAAAGACAATCAGGGGATTAAACTCTCCAGCATCCCCCAACCAGTGACCGACCCTTTAACCCCTTCGTGACTGACGACGTACAGTGTACGGGGCTATTGCCGCCGGGACTCTGTTTAGACTTGTAGAGCCGACTGTCGGCTTTACAACAGAAGCGATTCTGGCGACTTACCTGTCGCCAGATCGCTTCTGTGTCCCGAAGAAGGGGCCGCCCCCCCTCCCCCCCCCACCGTGCTTCCCGGGCTCCGTTGCCCCTCCTACGGGCCCGGCGTCCTTGGTGTCTGCGGGGAGGAGGTCGACGAACTTCCGTTCATCGATCTCCTCCCCGTTCTATGGGACCTGGAGCTATGCAGTTTGCATCACTTCCGGTCCCTGGGCTGTGATTGGTCGGCTCCTGAAGCCTGCGATCTGCACTTCAATAGCTTATTTCCAGTGTAAAGGTGACACTGGGGGTCTTTTGGACCCCCAGCATCACATTAAAGAGTACCAACTTAGTTCTGGAGAGGGGAAGACATCTGCAAGACAAAAAAAAAGGTGGAATTCTCAAAGAGATACTACGGTATTTGTACACAGCCAGAGGACAGAATAACCCAAAAAAACATCCGCTTACTGTCGCTGGTATGGGATTGGCTGATGCTCAACTATTTCCTGATCACACAAATATTCATCATTATTTTGGTTTATAGTTCCATATTTCTAAATGTAAATTGTTAATATTGGATGTTCTCATGTTCTAATCCAGAAGCTGATGTAATATGCTGTGGCTGAGAAGAGTCAGCAGAGGGCGCTCTGATAGAACGGACACGGCACAGTCTGGCAGCGACCGGCACACACAGGTTACCTGGCACATCAAGGCTTTGTAGAAACTCAACTGGCATTCTCTAGACCCCCCTCCCAGAAACCCCAACAATACGGATTGTGAGACGAGGATCTGCAGGCTCTGACCTGTGCTGGACAATCCGGCGATGTTACTCGGCTCGCTGATGAGATCCTGCATCACGGCTAGAACCCGGAACTCGTACCACGTCTCCTGCAACATGAGAGGACACAGCACGCTGAGACTGCTGAATGAGTACCCCCAACACGGGACATGTCATAACCCCATAATGTGGAGAATCTCAGGGTTGGGACCGGTCAGGTGAGAAATCTCAGAGTAGGGACCTGCAATGTGGGAAATCTCAGAGTAGGGACCTGCAATGTGGGAAATCTCAGAGCAGGAAGTCCGATTTCAGGACAGTGGTGGAGTACCAGGGGCCCAGTCGCAGCTGCAGCCTGGTAGTTCTCGTGAAAATGGCAAGTATCAGCATTGGTATATGAGCATCCCAAGTAGGAACCCATAATGTGAGAAATTCTAGGGTAAGACTCATAATGGGGGAAATAATAGGGTAGAGAATCATAATGTCAGAAATCTCAGAGTAGGGACTCATAATGTGGTAAATGCCAGGGTAGGGACCCACATGTGGGAAATCCACCTATAAGAGATGAATCGGTTACAGGAAGGGTCTGTTGGGCTGAGTCACCTTCTAATGAATGGCGAGAAATATGAAATTACACCGTAAGTCCAGTAAGGGCTGTGGGAGCCCCTAGTGATGGATGCAGCAGGTGTACAGACCTGGGAACTCAAGGCAGAGATCCCACCAAGAGTCCCCAAAAGACAATCAGGGGATTAAACTCTCCAGCATCCCCCAACCAGTGACCGACCCTTTAACCCCTTCGTGACTGACGACGTACAGTGTACGGGGCTATTGCCGCCGGGACTCTGTTTAGACTTGTAGAGCCGACTGTCGGCTTTACAACAGAAGCGATTCTGGCGACTTACCTGTCGCCAGATCGCTTCTGTGTCCCGAAGAAGGGGCCGCCCCCCCCCCCCCCCCCACCGTGCTTCCCGGGCTCCGTTGCCCCTCCTACGGGCCCGGCGTCCTTAGTGTCCGCGGGGAGGAGGGCGACGAACTTCCGTTCATCGATCTCCTCCCCGTTCTATGGGACCTGGAGCTATGCAGTTTGCATCACTTCCGGTCCCTGGGCTGTGATTGGTCGGCTCCTGAAGAACTATTATTGCGCAACATACAAATTTGCAACTACCACCATTTTATTCTATAGGGTCCAGGCATTCAGAAAATATATACTGTTTGGGGGTTTTCAGTCATTTTCAGGCCTATGTGGAATATAACATGGGTGCAAAAAATGAAAAAAAAAAGGCCTCAGTCATGAAGGGGTTAAAATGTCAATATGTGACGATAATGGAATGAGGAAATACAAGAAGTCCTGATAAGAAGTGTAGACAAATTCTCTCTCAGAGCTCAGGATTATGCCTGAAAGTCCCACACACCGTCTACCTACCTGGGAAAGTTCTTTCGCTAGGATCTCCGTCTCAGTCCCAGCTATGGAGTCATCGAGAATCTCCCATCTCTCCGCCAAGCGAAACTCCATAATGTAACGATCAAGTGGAAAGCTGTGATTGGCTGGGGGGAGCCAGGAAAGCAGCACGCCTTGCTGGGTCCGATTGGCTATTAGGCAGCGGGGTGAGGTCAAGACCACTAGGGGCTCCGGGGTTGTGAGAGGGAAGGCTGTCAGGAAGATGGCAACGTTAGAATAGACCCCCCCGTGACTCGACCATATCAGCATTTAGGCCACTGAAATGCCACTCTGTGCCTCACCTAAAGTCCGAACCGTGACCACTTCACTAAACGAGCTGGTCCCCAATTTATTTTGTGCAAGAACGCTGAACTGATATTCCGTCTCAGAGTCCAGAGAGTCTATGAGCAGGAATGAGACTCCGCTGGCTACGGGCATGGAGACCCAATCGTGAGGCCCGAACTGAGCGCGCTTCATCCTGCAAGAGGCCAGGAAACAGAGTAATGATAATAATAATAATAATGATCTCATTGCATTAGGCCGGATCCCCCAACACAGGAAGACATCTTTGAAGAAAGGAAACATTCAGATAAACAAATTTCATTCATTACATATTTGTCCCTCCGTTGCGGTAAACATCGAAGTTACGTTTTTTTCTACTCCATTGGCGAGGAACCCTGAAAAATGGCCAATGTACCTCCTGAGCAGACTGTAAGAAGGACGGGTGGAGAGAAGTCAGAAGAGTCGTCTACATGAAGATATTTGTCACCATCATAGAATGGACACTCAATGACCTGCCATGGGAGACGGGTTCCTGTCACGTTTGGCTCATTGTACACTACCTACAACATTAACCCCTTCGTGACGGGAGACGTACACTGTGCGTCCCGGAACTTTGTGCCTATATGACTGGCCACGTACACTGTTCGTCCCGGAACTTTGTGCCTATATGACTGGCCACGTGCACTGTACGTCCCGGAACTTTGTGCCTATAAGACTGGCCACGTACACTGTGCGTCCCGGAACTTTGTGCCTATATGACTGGCCACGTACACTGTGCGTCCCGGAACTTTGTGCCTATATGACTGGCCACGTACACTGTGCGTGACGAGTTATATCAGGCTCTGTAATGCCGGTAACTGTTGATTCTCAGCGGTTACCAGTCATTAATGAATGACTCAGTATTGAGGCATTCATTGATGAAATAGCTAAAAGGAGAACTATGAGGTCAGGGCTTTTCCCCATAGTTCTCCTTAGGGTAACGGGAGGACACAAACTAGCGTCCTCCCGTCACCCTAGGCTCAGTATATAGGGAGCTACAGCTAGCGGTATACTGAGACGCCGCAGCTGGAGCGGATCCCGACATTACTGTCTGGATCCGCCCAGCAGCGTGAGTGACAGCTGGTCCTGGCACCACCTACCTACATATGCTGGAGCTTAAAAGGAGAACTATGGGGTCAGGGCTTTTCCCCATAGTTCTTCTAAGGGTCACGGGACACAAACTAGAGTCACCCGGGAGGACGCTACAGCTCGCGGTATACTGAGACGCCGCAGCTGAAACGGATCCCGACAATTATGTCTGGATCCGCCCAGCTGCGTGAGTGACAGCTGGCTCCTCCTATCTAGCGGCAGAGCCAGCTGTACCCGCCCCCTCCCCCGTCCGTTCCGCCAGTCAGCGCTGGAGGTTCGGAACGGGGAATCCAGCCCCTCCCCTGTCACCGCAGAGAGCCATGACAGGATCGAGAGGTGAGCGAACGCCGGTATGTGTTCCCGATCTACTGAGCCGACCTGTGACAGTCTCATTGTCACAGGTTGGCTAGAACTATGAGGTGAATGAAATGGACCCCCTCCCCCCCCCCTCATAGTTCTCCTTTAAGCTTTTGTAAAAGCTTATTTCTTTCATTAATGAGAGAATGAAGCCGTTACATGCAAATACGGGAGCGCTAAATAGCGCTCCGCTCCAGTATTTGACAGCTGAAAATAGCAGAGAGGCAGCAGAGTGACTCACCTCCCTGCTATTTGTTTTGACAGCTCCATAGACTGGCCCGATGTTTATGAATCTACATGATACATCAAGCAAAGGAGATACAAGAGATACAATGTATCTCTTTGCTTGAAAATGTATAATTTCTGATCATCTAGGCAAGATCAAAGAGCTTTAGTGAGATCTGAATCTGACACGCTGTCAGGATCAGACTCTGAGGTTATTATTAGCTGTTCCTAAGTTTGGAGCGGCCCTAATAATAGCCAAAAATGTAAAAAAAAAAGTTAATTTATCAAGCAGTCATAATGACTGCTTGGTATAAACTGACAAAGTATTAAAAAAAAGTGTAAACAAATTAGGAAAATAAAATTATATATAAATATATTTTTATACTATAATTATTAAAACAAAATTCTAAAAAAATAATCAAAACTTGTGAAAAAAGTGTTTTCTTCTAGTTTTTTTTCCTCATTTTTTATATTTGATTCAAACTAAGTGAGGCGTCAGGTACATGTTTGATATAATTATATCGCCCGATCTGTCCTCTAAAAAACAAATATATAATATGTGCGGGTACATTTAGTATGAAAGTATATTACTGCTGTGGAAGAATCGCACAGCAACAATGTAACAAGCGTGTCCGTCATTTATGAACAGAAACGGAAAACTAGCGCAGCCATGAAGGGGTTAATGACCGAGTGTAACGTGTGAAATAGTGGAGGTCGCCTGCCAAGCTCCACTCAGAAGGGGTTGTCAAGGTTAGAGCCACTTGGTAATGGCTTCTCATTAGGTGGCATGATGGTCTTGTCTTATTGGTTGCTGCTCTCTATCAATGCCTTCTCTGCAATAAAAAAAGTTCCTGTAAACATCTAAAAAAAAAAAAAAAAATACAACCCTCTGCAGATACATTCAGAAGAGTTCTGAGCTGCCGAGAAGGGATGTCGCCTCTTGTCATAGGATGCTCCTTCTTAAAAAGGAGAACTATGAGGTGATGATGATTTTCACTCATCCTCATAATCTGAGCCGACGTGTGACAATGAGACTGTCACAGGTCGGCTCAGTAGATCGGGAAGTGAGCGAACACATACCGGCGCTCGCTCACCTCTCGATCCTGTCACGGCTCTGTCAAGGGGAGGTACTGGATTCTCCGCTCTGATCCTCCAGCGCTGACTGGCGGAACGGGCAGGGGAGGGGGCGGGTACAGCCTCTAGATAGGCAGAGCCAGCTGTCACTCACGCAGCTGGGCGGATCCAGACATAATTGTCGGGATCCGTTTCAGCTGTGGCGTCTCAGTATACCGCGAGCTGTAGCTCTCTATATACTGAGCCTAGGGTGACGGGAGGACGCTAGTTTGTGTCCTCCCGTTACACTAAGGAGAACTATGGGCAAAAGCCCTGACCCCGTACTTCTCCTTTAAGCTCCAGCATATGTAGGTAGGTGGTACCGGGACCAGGAAACACTCTGGTGGCATGTCACAGGGTCAGACTTTAGGAAGATGATGACTGAGTGAGCTGGGCACCCCCGGCGCATTTCATTGTTGTGTCCCTGGAAGCCAATTCATATTCATCATGTTTGTGTGGAGTTCACCTCGATCTGTAATGGACACCTATACCAAGTGACAATTCTGCCAATCCATCTGAAAATGCTAGTTACCTGGTTGTCTCTGGCCTCAGTACTTACTGAACCACTGACCAGGAACAAGCATGCAGAAAGCTAAGCCCGGTGTAACGTCAGAACTTTGCACAATTATCTCAGTTCAGTAACTCAGATGGAATGGAATCCAAAAAGGATCACCATGACAGCCAGGCACCCAGCGGCCTGTATAGTTTCCAAAGTGAGCATTTTACAAACCTCGGCATCTGAAACCCGAGTACGATAGGAAATGAAGGAGCAGATACGTAGAGATTTCTTATAATGAAAAGATCAATCCAAAATCAACAGATCAATAGAGAATGGCAGCTCATGCTAAAGCAGAACTCAACTTCCTGTAACAAACTGCACTCGGTTCCTTCTCCGCATCCCTATTGGTCAATGTGAGAACCTTCACATGAAAGAAAAACTGCGGCCAGACCATGGAAACCCCACTCGCTGCCTCAATGATAATGACTACACATAAGAATCCTCAGGAGAGCAACAAAGTGCTCAAAAACTGATCTTCCCGGGAATCTGTCTGGGGCTGTTACAATGTTATGGGTGCTGCCATCTTGGATTCCTCCAAAACAGGTCAGCAATACATGGCATTGTAATATCCCCTTCACACACCGTACCAATGTACCCCAGAAAACAACCGGCGGATGGCGCCACAGCACACAATCTAGAAGATATGTTGTCCGCACCCCATTCTGCTCCGGAATGTCATCTTTATTCGTATTCCTTTAGCATGACATGTGAATGCAACGTTCCGGAGCCTCACAGGAACCCTTCGTCAGGCAAAGTGTCCAACACTTTGCCTGACAGCACTTTGCCTGACAGCACTTTGCCTGACAGCACTTTGCCTGACAGCACTTTGCCTGACGAAGGGTTCCTGTGAGGCTCCGGAACGTTGCATTCACATGTCATGCTAAAGGAATACGAAAAAGGATGACATTCCGGAGCAGAATGGGGTGCGGACAACATATCTTCTAGATTGTGTGCTGTGGCGCCATCCGCCGGTTGTTTTCTGGGGTACATCTTGAACTGGAGAGAGTCCAGCGGAGGGCAACAAAACTAATTAGGGGAATGGAGGACCAGAGCTATGAGACAAGGGGGAGGGGATGGAGGACCAGAGCTATGAGACAAGGGGGAGGGGATGGAGGACCAGAGCTATGAGACATGGGGGAGGGGATGGAGGGCCAGAGCTATGAGACAAGGGGGAGGGGCTGGAGGACCAGAGCTATGAGACAAGAGGGAGGGGCTGGAGGACCAGAGCTATGAGACAAGGGGGAGGGGCTGGAGGACCAGAGCTATGAGACAAGGGGGAGGGGCTGGAGGACCAGAGCTATGAGACAAGGGGGAGGGGCTGGAGGACCAGAGCTATGAGACAAGGGGGAGGTGCTGGAGGACCAGAGCTATGAGACAAGGCTTCTGACCTTAAACATGGCTGGAAGTAAGGAGATTAAGGGGGGATATGATTTTCATGTACAAGATGTTCAATGGTGACAGCAACATTGGCAACAAACTGTTTGGAGATTAACTCCATTACAAAGACTAGAGCGGTTAAGGTCTGGAACTCACTGCCATCGGCCGTCATCTCAGCCAAGAGTGTAGATTTGTTCAAGAAACGTTTGGACAATTTCCTGAGGGACCGTAATATCCGGGGGTACCAGTATCCCTAAGACTGAGATGATGCGCGGACCTATATGGGTTGGACTCGATGGACATATGTCTTTATTCAACCCAAAATACTATGTAACATCGGTACGGTGTGCGAAGGGGATATTACAATGGCATCTACTGCTGACTTGTTTTGGAGGAATCCAAGATGGCAGCACAACATATCTTCTAAGCAGTAGATGCCAGCCACCGGCCACTCGCTCTAGACAAGGGGGTTGATTTACTAAAGGCAAACCAGGCTGTTCACTTTGCAAGGGGAGATTCCCTTAGCTTAGTGAATGTGGCGAAACTTCACTTTGTAAACAATACCCAAGTCATATGTTGAACATGATTGGGTGATGGAAGCCAGCAGAGCTTCCCCTCATTCACTAAACCAAGAGCAAACTTCCCTTGCGAATTGAACAGCCGGATTGCCTTTAGTAAATAAACCCCCAGTTGTGTCAGCAGGTTTAATTGCCCCCGTTCCTCCTAAGCAAAACCCTTCCTGAGGTCACGTGACCCCCCCGGGGAGCTCATAGTGCAGCTACAAGTCAGGACACTGTATCAAGTAAAACACAAAAGATAAAAGAAAGCCACTTGTCCCTACGACAATCACAACTTACATTCGGCAGTATGTCAGGGAGATCACATGAGACTAGAAGCAGACGGAGATGAAAAGGCATAAATTGCTGCTCAGTGCTGCACAGTTTGGAACGTTGGAGGGGTAATTCAATGCTTGTCAGGGACATGTACATCTAATTATTTAGATCTCCACAGCCTGACCCACAAGCTCACTTTACAAGGACCACCATGGAGGTTTTGGCAGCAGGAAGTCAAGTTTGACTTTTGCAGGACACATCCTCTCCGGTGACCTCGGCTTCTCTTCATATTCTGAATCGCCCAGATTTGTAACAGTTATACTTCACTGACACATTGAGAATGATCGGGGCGTGTTCTGTCTCTTCACACATACATTCCTATCTCCGCTCCTCTCTTGTACATTCGTCTATCATTGGCATGTTGTGCTATTCGGGGTACAAAACGCAGAACAAAAACAAGGCAGGAGAAGATGCAATCCCAGTGCGTGGCGTCACTTCAGATGCAAGTCATCATACATCATCTTATAACACATGACCAATAATCACGGATCATCATACTGCATACATGAAGTAGCATCCTTTATATGTGTGCGGCGTACTATATACATCGCCAGTGTATATACAAAACACACATATATCATACAGACATATAGGCGGCTCTCTTATATGTCACAGCAGGAATGTGAAGCTCACATCCCCAACAAAGCATGGCAGACACATAAAGACAGTGTGGAGATAGAAGCTGCAAAGCATGCTGGGATGACTCACAGAGCTCCATACCAAACTGAGAATGTCTGCTCAAATCCTCCGTCGTACCCAGCCTCCCAGGTCACATTGGCCGTGTTCATGGACACCACGACTCGCACATTGGAAGGGGCATGTGGGCTGGTACCTACACAGAGAGGAAAGCAGTATGACATAAGCAGGAAGTGCTCAGCTCAGTATAGACATGGGATGTCAGATGTCACCACACAGTTAGGATCTGACATCTCACCTGCGTGTGGTGACCTCTCACCTGTGTGTGGTGACATCTGACCTTTGTGTGGTGACCTCTGACATCTCACCTGTGTGTGGTGACATCTGACCTCTCACCTGTGTGTGGTGACATCTGACCTCTCACCTGTGTGTGGTGATAATTAACATCCTGTATCCCTAAGGTGCCTGGTGACATCGGATCCCTCACTCATGTATGGGAATAATTCAGTCATATCTAGGGGCATCTGACACGTCACCCATGCCTTGTAACATCTGACATATCCCACTCCTGTCTGGTGACATCACGCCTGTGTCTTGTGACATCAGATATCTCACCCGTGTCTATTATCTGACATGCCAACCATGACTGGTGACGTCTGACCTCTCGCCTGTGTCTGGGGATATCGGACATGCCACCTGTGCTTGGAAAAATCTGATGTCCCCCCCTGTGTCTTGTGACGTCCGATATGCTCCCTGTCCAGTGACAACCCACTCGTGTCTGGTGACATCTGACATCCTGCTACTACTTGGTGACATCTGACATACATCTGCTTCTAGAGACAGTCCATGAATATATCTTTATGACATCTGAGATCCTACCCATGTCTGGTGACATCTGGCATGCCACCTGTGCCTAGCGACACCTCACTCTTCTCTGGTGACAATTCATATCTCAGCCGTGTCTGTCTGACTTCCCGCCCTACTCTGGTGGCATCCCAACCGCGTCTGCTGATGATATGTGCCAAACCACTTATGTCTGGTGATATAGGACATCCCTCCTGGGTCCAATGACGTCCCACTATCGTTTGGTAACATCTGACATCCCGCCCATTTCTGGTGGCGCACCAACCCTGCCTGGAGACATCTAAAATCTTGTCTGCATATGGTGACCTCTGACCCCCCTACCCATGTCTGGTGTGACTCCATCTGTGCCTGATGTCATCTGATATCCCACTTGTGTCTGGTTACGTCTTACCAGTGTTTGGAGGCGCCCTACCAATCTAACATTTTGCCAGCGTATGGTGCCACCTGATGACTCTCACTCATGTCCGGTCACACAGGACGCCTCACCTATGTCCGGTCACACAGGACGCCTCACCTATGTCCGGTCACACAGGACGCCTCACCTATGTCCGGTCACACAGGACGCCTCACCTATGTCCGGTCACACAGGACACCTCACCTACGTCCGGTCACACAGGACACCTCCCCTATGTCCGGTCACACAGGACAACTCCCCTATGTCCGGTCACACAGGACACCTCACCTATGTCCAGTCACACAGGACACCTCCCCTACGTCCGGTCACACAGGACACCTCACCTACGTCCGGTCACACAGGACACCTCCCCTACGTCCGGTCACACAGGACACCTCCCCTACGTCCGGTCACACAGGACACCTCACCTACGTCCGGTCACACAGGACACCTCACCTATGTCTGGTCACACAGGACACCTCACCTATGTCCGGTCACACAGGACACCTCACCTACGTCCGGTCACACAGGACGCCTCACCTATGTCCAGTCACACAGGACACCTCCCCTCTCTTGTACAATTTGATCTCTATAGTGATTCTGATCCCCGCAACCATTTGTTGAAGTGAGGCCATGTGCTATGAAGAGAACCTGTCAGCTGTATAATCGTTATCAGACCTCTCACACAAATCACTGCGCACACTACCAGTTTATCCGGACTTACCAATAACAGTGAGGTGCGCACTGGCAGTGATACTCGTCACAACATTGCTGGCAACACATTCCCATTCTCCGTGATCTTCCTTACTGAGCGACCGAAACTGTAGGGAGCCACTGGGCAGCACGCTGTGCTTACTGGACGAGGGTCTTCCCACCTGCAAGATGGACACGTTACAACTCAAACAGTATGTCTCTGCTCATGTGACCCAAGGTAAAACTTCATGGATGGGACACAGAGCACACGGCGACCCCCCCGAGACACAGAGCACACGGCGACCCCCCAGGGACACAGAGCACACGGCGACCCCCCAGGGACACAGAGCACACGGCAACCCCCCAGGGACACAGAGCACACGGCAACTCCCCAGGGACACAGAGCACACCGAATGCACCACAACCCCCGGGACACAGAGCACACCGCAACGAGGAGACACAGTACTCCGCAACCGTGCCTATCAATTCTATCCAAAGAGAATCTCCAGACAATGTGATCTTCTTGCACCATATCAGCATGAATTAAAACTGTACACACCTCAGTATGGACTTTTGTTTGAATGGGAGGAGCCTAATGGGCTGATTTTTCTTTGACGCAAAAAAGGGGCGCACACCATTCTTTGTGAACAATTATCCAAAGAGAATGAACCTGACTGCAGGAAGCTCCCCCCCCCCGAGACCTATGACAGCCTAACACTGCATGCAGAGCGCCTCCCTGTGGGGAATGTGGATTACAGCAGGAGAGGAGTACAATACACACGATATGGGTATACAATGGGGGTGTACGGTGCGTGTTCTGCACCCTTTAATGATATCTGGGTCACACAATGCTGCAAAGAAGGAAGTACCCAGCAGCTCCGTCACTGTCCCATTTCATGGAATTCCCGCTATTTGTCTAACGGGAAAGAACACAGAGGAGGTGTGGCCAGCGCGGTGCTGGTATCTGGGGCAGAAAATGGCTGCAGAGGAATGGGGAAAGCTAATACATAAATGATGGCAGCATAGCAGAGGGTGGTCAGAGACACGATTCTATCTGCTCTCACAGTCCTGGGCGCCCCATACACGTCTATAGGAGAGCAGCGTCACATCTGATTTAATTCCAAAACAATGCGCCACCACCTCCGGCTGCCCAGACCCAGCTCCACAACAATGCTCTGCCTGCCTAAACCACTCTCCAGAACAAATCTGTCTACTTAGACCCTGCTCCAAATTATTGCTCCACGTTACTAGACCTGGCTCCAGCGCAACGCCTTGCCTGCCCAGACCTCCCTCCAGAACAAAGCACCGCCTGCCCAGACCCTTCTCCAGAACAAAGCACCGCCTGCCCAGACCCTTCTCCAGAACAAAGCACCGCCTGCCCAGACCCTTCTCCAGAACAAAGCACCGCCTGCCCAGACCCTTCTCCAGAACAAAGCACCGCCTGCCCAGACCCTTCTCCAGAACAAAGCACCGCCTGCCCAGACCCTTCTCCAGAACAAAGCACCGCCTGCCCAGACCCTTCTCCAGAACAAAGCACCGCCTGCCCAGACCCTTCTCCAGAACAAAGCACCGCCTGCCCAGACCCTTCTCCAGAACAAAGCACCGCCTGCCCAGACCCTTCTCCAGAACAAAGCACCGCCTGCCCAGACCCTTCTCCAGAACAAAGCACCGCCTGCCCAGACCCTTCTCCAGAACAAAGCACCGCCTGCCCAGACCCTTCTCCAGAACAAAGCACCGCCTGCCCAGACCCTTCTCCAGAACAAAGCACCGCCTGCCCAGACCCTTCTCCAGAACAAAGCACCGCCTGCCCAGACCCTTCTCCAGAACAAAGCACCGCCTGCCCAGACCCTTCTCCAGAACAAAGCACCGCCTGCCCAGACCCTTCTCCAGAACAAAGCACCGCCTGCCCAGACCCTTCTCCAGAACAAAGCACCGCCTGCCCAGACCCTTCTCCAGAACAAAGCACCGCCTGCCCAGACCCTTCTCCAGAACAAAGCACCGCCTGCCCAGACCCTTCTCCAGAACAAAGCACCGCCTGCCCAGACCCTTCTCCAGAACAAAGCACCGCCTGCCCAGACCCTTCTCCAGAACAAAGCACCGCCTGCCCAGACCCTTCTCCAGAACAAAGCACCGCCTGCCCAGACCCTTCTCCAGAACAAAGCACCGCCTGCCCAGACCCTTCTCCAGAACAAAGCACCGCCTGCCCAGACCCTTCTCCAGAACAAAGCACCGCCTGCCCAGACCCTTCTCCAGAACAAAGCACCGCCTGCCCAGACCCTTCTCCAGAACAAAGCACCGCCTGCCCAGACCCTTCTCCAGAACAAAGCACCGCCTGCCCAGACCCTTCTCCAGAACAATGCATCTCCTCTCCAGAAAAAGAAGAAAAAAACACCTCCTATCCAGAATAATGCACTGCCTGCCCAGACCCCCCTCCAGAACAAAGCACCTCCTGCCCAGACCCCTCCCCAGAACAAAACACCTCCTGCCCAGACCCCTCCACAGAACAAAACACCTCCTGCCCAGACCCCTCCCCAGAACAATGCACCTCCTGCCCAGACCCCTCCCCAGAACAAAGCACCTCCTGCCCAGACCCCTCCCCAGAACAA